CTAATAATGAGGAATGCTCTGTTATCGTCAACCAACATGGCGGCTATGACGTAACATGCTCCCCAAGAATATTATAGGCTTTGCCTTCCATTTCTCCCAGCGACTTAATTTCACTAACTTAAATAGATAAAATAGCAATTAATCTTATTCAGAAAGAAAATTCATCAAATATTTACCTTCGAATTGCTTGCTTTACAGACAGGATCCTTGCTCAACGTGGTTCATCGTAACCCCACGTTACTTCACGTTATGTGGACAGACGAGACGAAACTGATAACAGCATCACCAGAGAAACCCGGCACAATAACCATCATTAACTACTGGTAGAAGTAGAATCTTGAATTCTTTACTCCCCATAGTAATTCTGTTAAGTTGAGTGGAGTGTCCTTTATAAGAAAAGGCTTGTTTTCAGCGCGGGAACAACCCAGACAAGACAACAAGCTAGTGGTTTGACCTCTGTTGCTTTAAACACGAATGCAAAATGGCGTCTGAATTCGAATTGAGAAAACAACCAATCGCAGCTGGACAAATATACAAATACGGCTTACTGGATATCCAAATATGGTGAAACTCAGTACCAGTCCCTTTCCTTCCCCCAAATTTCCCCTCCCTCCCCTCCCCCAAATTTCCTCTCCCTCTCCTCCCCCAAATTTCCTCTCCCTCCCCTTCCCCAAATTTTCCCTCCCGCCTCCCCCGAAAAAAAGCTTTGTAACAATTAAGCTGTCAATGGGAAGAGAGGAAACCTWAAAAAACATTGAATACTCCCTTTTGTATTTTAATCGACGGTCTTTCAAGTCTGGACAGTTTAAACAGCAGGCCATGCATTTGCACAAAGGCTATCACTACCAGTGGACAATGCTATGCGAATTTCCTTTTATTCAAATGTCTTTCCGTCATAAGAATAGCAAGACAATTGCTGCTAATTAACTGGCAAAAGAAAGAGTGTAAGGGATTCTGGTAGGKGTTTATGAGATAAGTTCAAAAGGTCTCGTATGTCCGAGCTCATGAATTATTTTCAAGCTAGATTCTATGACACTGAACCAGTACTACATGAAATGGTATCTCGTTTATTGCGATTMAGCACAGTTTTATTACATTGAACGAGGCACAATATTAACTAAACATTTTACACGATATCCAACTTATTGAGATAGAGAAAATTTCAAGAGTAACTAAGTAACTAAATACTTTTTATATATAACCATACTCTCCCATGGGACCAGGCAACGCCTAAACCSACCAGAATTGCATCTTGGTCTATCTTGGGTGTAAAGAACACCATATGAGWCATGATGAACAAAAACTATTTGTACCCAAGGTGGACCACAATGCACATGCTCACTATCAGAAAAGGTTATAGCACGGGGTGGAAACCATTCTGTTAGAAAATATATTACTAATACTTTGCAAGCATGTTCAAGAGATTCAAATGACAAAGACATGGCGGCCATGTTGGTGGTTTTAAAACAGAAGCTAACGAGGAATCTTGTTGAACACTACCAAAATTGCCGCGATGGTGTAACATCGTTCCCAGCTACGTGTTTGCGTGCAAAGGGTAAGGTATCCGTACTATTTTAAAAATTAAAAGGCCTTTTTCAATTAACAGTCACGTGGCTCAACCTGGATGGCACAAAACTCGGATTACATATTTTTGAAATAATTTATACTTGCTATATATGTTACTATAGTATGCAACCAATCGTCTTTATAAAATTTACTTAAGAGTATTGCGACGTGCTTTACATTCACTAAAGATTTCCCCCGTGGCTTGCGTCCAATTTATGGCTTATATGACGTAGTGTACTGTATCRCCACGTGACTAAATTACAAAAGACCCAACAACTGCATGATTTATAACCTTTACCTTTCTCTCTTCTCCAGTCCCCTGAACTTGTTCGTAGGCTGTAGAATTTAATTTTTACCTGTAGGTGTGTTTGTTTAAGTTATTTTAATAGGAGTACTTAGTTTAGTGAAGCGTGTTTTTGCTCTTTCTTCATTTCCCCAGGAAATAAAATTAAACTAATAGTATGTAATTACAATTTCGTATATTCGTTATCCGGATCTGTGAGGACTGACATACCGAAATGACTAGATTACTGCCACAAGCTGCCAACCCTCAAACTTTGTGATTACGAAAAGAGGTTTTGCACACCATAACGTGCCGGCTCCCATAACACAGCAGAACAATATATAAAATCCCTTTGCTCTCGGGAATTGAATTTTTCTTGTATAAAACGATTGCTGCCGTCACGTGATGGTGGAAAACCTATTAACAGTTTAATAATTCACTTTGTAATTTCACTTTGTTCGCGAACCCCTCCCCTCCCCCCTTCCCTACACATGTATGCTTGAGCTGCCTCTGATCTTTGCGTAGATCGTCATTGATTATAGTAGAGTGGTTTTCGTATGAGTGGAAAACATACGGTACTGACTTACACCATGAGCATGGTACAACATGCCATAACATTGAAATGGCTTCTCATTGTCTTCCGGTAAAGTCATCCAAACACAATGCGTCGTTACGGCTATGATAAGATACAGTACGAATACGAATTTACCGCATCTTTTCCCACTTAAAGGAAAACCGCTCTAATCGTGTGCGTCAGAAAATCAATAAGCAGCTCCTCTAGTTTTGAACTAGAAAAACCACGAGCACAGCCACCGACGAGATGCAAGCAGTTAAACACTCTATCACGCTTGCAAGCAATTTCTTAACGTGCACATTTTCCACATTTATGACCAAGTCTAGTTAATGTTATTGAACAATTATATGGAGTCTTGGAGCGGCGAGGTAAATATTCCMCATAATCACTGAGCCTGAAGAAGTGAATTATTGTTTGAGTATAATTTTAGACTTGGAAAAAAAAACTTTTAGTTCTGTTTTCAATTCCACTGTAGAAAACGTTGAAAAATCCTCATAATTACCGCTCGAGCAGTGATTATCGCCTCACAATCACTGGTCGCTCTACAGTTCACTGGGAGCAATGTTCTATATTCAAGTCTAAAATTATATTGAAAACAAACACTATCCATGAAACGTGACGGTAACAGAACCRTGACCATCATTATAATCACTAACTGCATTCCAACTACTGTCAAATGTAAACGAACCTCCACCTCCAGCAAACCCTTGCTGAGGAATAGCACTCACCCCACCTCCTGAATAACCACCCCCACCCCCTGGTGAAGTGCTGTTCGCAGCTCCGCCTCCTCCAAACCCGCCCTCACTATCTCCTCTACCACCGAGGAAACCATTTTTGGAAGACCCACCCCCTGCGTCGCATTGCGTCGTGTTAAGACAAGTCGGGCCTTTGAAGCACAGCCCGTTTGAGACGTACCCTCCCCCTCCCCCTGGAATAGCGTAGCCTGGTTGAGTACATGAYGTACCTCCAAGGCCTTTTCTACCTCCATATAGTCCTCCTGTCTGACTCGCCAGTCCTCCCTGGCCGTCTTTTTGAGTAAAGAGACCACCTCCCCCACCCCCACCCCCTGCAACACCTATTGGTCTGTTATCACTGTAAAAGACAAAACTTCCTCCCCCTCCACCACCCCCACCGGTATTGCTTGACACTCCTTCCTGTCCAACAACAATGATCAAGCTGGCTGTTTTTATCAATGACACAAATCCAGAAACCTTTGCGCCCTTGCCTCCCTTGTGCCAGTTATTCCTTCCATCCCCACCCGATGCGCCTTGAATGTCGAAGTGGTATCGTCCAGTGAAGGGCACACTCCACTGTTGCTTCCCTTGCAAGAGAGTCACACTTCCCTCCAAGGTCGTCCCAGTGTACTGTGACTTAGAGGTAGGGCCCGTTCTTCCACTACTTCGCAAGTGAGTAAAGCGATAAACTATAGCTGTGAACAAAGATGTCATTCAAAATGGATTAAGAGATGAAACATGGATAGTGTTCGTGGTTCATTTCGAGAGCTTTTTCTAGTTTTTCGAGAGTTTGAAATTCAAAAAAAAGAAATGCAGAAGGGTCGTGCGTTCCAGAGTCGAGGGAGATTGGCGCTAAATCCAGTACAGATAGCTTGCATGGCAGCCCTCAAATCTTGTGGGTTTGGGATTCAGAGTACACAAAGCATTGTTAACTTACGTTTTAATCGTTCACAAAAGTCGCCTTCATGGTCCCCAACACATGCGCATTTAAATCCTCCATACTCGTTGTCATGGTAGCAGGRGCCGCCATTTTGGCACTTGATATTGCTGCATCCTTCCTTGTTGTCCCAAGACAGAGAAAAAACGAGAAAAATTATGTAATTGCTTATTCAAATATTATTTTTTTCTCTTTCTCTGATTGATTAAAATGCCACGGGTTTTGGTTAAATGGACTAATATTTAWCGCACACTGACCGAGGTGAAGGCTGGGCAAAAGAGAACTCAAAACTGGAGTAATCTAGTTTAAAACGAATTATAAAAACCCGTGCTGCCATCTTGGATTGCGTCTAAGAATGAAATCCGAGGTATCCTGAACATTAAAGAGGCTCAAATCTAAAAGTAGACAATAAAACTGCGCCGAGGGAGAGACGTGTTAATGATCCCTCAGACTGTTCCCGTTTCCTCGGCATTCGTTAGTATTTGTCATCTAATCCAAAACGACTGTCAAATCCTCTCTTTGAAGACAGGCGACATTATTTGGCCTGACAAACCTTTAACCTGCCTAATGACAGAAATTACTTTCAAAATCAAAAGAAAAACCCCTAGCTCCTTAACATATTTGAACATATGCTTCCTTATTTCATTTATTACATAGAAACGGAAGCATTACGAAATCTCTCCAGCAATCGTGTCTATTGATAGAGTCATTTGGTACAAAACAACACCAATAAAGCAAGTCGAACGTACGTGCCCTTGCGCGAGGATATTACATCTCTTTCTTTATGCATCAAATTATTTTTCAAACAAAACTGGTTTTCGATCATATGTCACACTGTTGACTGAAGAACCTTTCCTTTTCAAACAAAAAAAAAAGGCCAAATAGTCTCCTGTTCGAGAATAATGAAATATCACTTTTAAATTTATCCTAATTGAACTCATCTAAGATTTTTTCATTAATACCAACGTTCCTAGATTCGTCATCCCTTTTATCGCTTTTAAGATCATTAACCTTTCGTCATTCTAAAAGATTACCGGCGTCGGTGAGCCCTAAATGATAGCTAAGTATGGAGTGAATAAGCAAAATTTCCGTCAATGGCCTACGACTTTCCGTACTGTCAGTCGGTTAACGACGATAAAATCAAAAAGTGAAGTAATGAAAACAGGAGGTTCTATGACGATATTTTYGGTGTAAAAAAACCTTATTTTCATCAATGTGGTCCCTGAAGTTTGCCTCTTGTCAATACTTGAAAGATTATTTACATTTGCTTCTAAAGGTTTAATTTACCGAATCCTTGTCTTGAATTGTTCTCGTGTTGTTTTTTGTTGTTTTTCTTTTTTTGTTTTGTTTTTTTCTGGTAAGAAAATATAATTTGTTCTTCTTGATGAAATCTCGATACGAATGGCTAAATACACAAACTCTACTTAAAACTATAAAGTAAAGACCCAAGGACGTTTAGTGTTGGAAGATTACGATATTTGATAACCAAAGAATACTTACAAAAACATCCACAAACTGATAAAATGTACATCCATTCTTCTCGACAAAAAAAGGATAATTCCCCACAGTTTGCTCGGTTCGTATTCCCTTGTTAAACAAGTGGCAATCTCCGCTCTTCCTTGAACCGTGATCACAGAAGACAATAGCGATACACAAGGTGTTGGCCAGACATATATGTGTACAAGCAAAATCTTTGCTCGCTCGTTTTGAAAGCAGAGGGGTGTGAGTGAAAAAGGAGCCTTCTCGCACTATGATAGCACCCGTGAATGAACGTTCATTTTCTCCAGCACAAACAGAACGGAGGTTTTCTAGATTCAACAGAAGAAATCCTACCAAGTTGAGAAGCTTTTTTTTCATTTTCGTCGATACAAGTTGAGGTCCTTTGCACTTGGACTATACGTGGTTGTTTATCGTTTTTYCCCCCTGGTAAATGAAGAGCTGAAGATGTCCTTAGTCAATTGAAAGCGTGATCAATTGGTTATTCTTTCGAAAAAATGAATCCCATCTGTCCCTCACCATATAGAGACAAGTTAGAAAGCATTTTCCAGTAGAAGTGCATGCATTAATGTGTTTGTTTTCAAAAGTGGTGGACGTTCCAAGAGCAAACAAAATGGCGACTCACCTGTCATATCATGAATCTATCGCCGTGCGAAACTCGTTTAATTGAAGTTTGTTCTCACTGCGTAAATAAATAAAGGTAAACTAAAAGATCAAAAAGCACTTGMGAAATTATTCAGGAGCCGGTTTTGACAGCAAATATGCTGTCGAGAACAACCAATTTCAAAGGAATCAATTTTTTTAGGAACCAATACCTCATGCGTGGCCAATTCAACTAAGAAATTTTGGACACGTTTCTATTTTCTAGCTAATGCTACAGTTTGGAAATATAATAAAAGAACCATTATGAAAACTGAAATCCCGCTAAATAATGAATAAAGTCATATGAAGATCAAACTATTTGTTTGGCCATCTTTGTTTGGGAATCAAAGTCGGATGTGTAGCGCTCGATGGTACACACACTTCTTATACCCCTGGGGTCTCGATTTCGATTCCCTGACTCTACATCACATGTGAACAGAGTTTGTAAAGTCTCTCCTTTAATTAGAGAGTTTTTCTCTGGGCTCTCCGGCTTTCCTGCCCTCCGCAAAACCTACCAACTGAGCTAAATTCCAATTTGATCTGTGAGTAAGCCRTGCATGCCCTGCCTTTGATCAGACCAGAGGTTGTTTCAGGGTTCCAAAAAGTTTTGAAGGCTTTGAAAAGATCATTTTTGTTATCACTTTCCATTTGTTGCAGTAAAATGTACAAAGACAGTGGTGTAGGGAAAGCCCGATATTTAACGTCAGTATGCAACCCATGCTTCGAAGGACGAGAGAGAACCACTTATCGATTTCGCTAATGCGTATTAATGCATCTGTTGGAGGAAAGGTTGGTAATACATAGACTGTTAATCTAACATTTTCGCAAAAAAAAAAAACAGTTACCGATACCCAACGCTGTGCAGCCTTCTGGTCAACAGTCTTTTCTCAGTCTTGTTACCACAGAAGTCCCATGCACTTGCGGTTGTCCGTGACAGTCCATTTCCATCCCAGTCGGCCAAAAATTAAACGTATTTGGAAATGTTTGTTTGTTTAAACGATTTCTTCTTTAATGTAGTCAATCCAGCTTATCTAAAATATACTACAAARCATTGAACTTATAAGAGGCGAGTAGAATGTGCTTGTAGCATTCTCTTTTTACATTCTAATGTTATGGTCGCCATTTTGAATAAATTAAACAAATTTGAAAGATTACTTCATTGTCCTTTGCCACATCAACCAACATGGCGGCCATGTCTTCTTATGTACGTGTACCATTCTCTTGGATACTCTTGTTCCACTTCATCATCATTTCTTTACTGCTGGTTTGCAACAATTTTTGGAATTATTCCCACATGAACCACATGAAAATGGCCGCCATGTTGTGATGTTCTTTGGAAAAGCATCACATGCCAAAGAGGTACTTAACTATGAGGCAATCTAAAGCAGGTTCCTAATCGTGAAGTCTTACTGTCACGTGAAAATGACGATACAAAACAAAACCTAACAAAAGAGGTGCTTTACTACGAGGCAATCTAAAGCAGGCTCCTAATTGYGAAGTCTTACTGTCACGTGAAAGCATGCAGTTAGCATAATAAAATCAACGTCGTTGACATACACCTTTCGTTGAGAAGACACAGTTTTGATGTATCAAGGTGACGACAAGAGTTTCAAGATAACATAGCCGTCACCATCATTGTTTCCACTTATCCTCTCCCAATCAGAAGGTGCAGTAGAACAACCACCCTCACTGCTAAACGATGTGACAGTATTATTCCTGACAAACAAGACATCACCACCAGAATACCCACCCCCACCCCCTGAAGCATCATAACAGGCTCCCCCTCCCCCAAAACCACCATCACAGTTAGATAAAAGTTGAGTAGAAATACCGCCTTCTCCTCCATTCTTATAGGATTTTCCACCTTGATTACAGGCTTTGTTATTACAGGGGTTACTTTGATAGCAAGTGCCATCACTACTRTACCCTCCACCGCCCCCTGAGAGTGTCGTTCCTTGTGTGGCGCACACTTTCCCTCCGTTACCAATACCACAACTCATTCCACGTCCAGGACCCCCATCGTCGTCTTTYCCTCCCCCACCCCCACCCCCTGCTATTGCTAAAATTTTGTCTTTATCCATATTGAATATGAACGTTCCCCCACCTCCAGCCCCCACGGTTACCGCGCTTGGTGCTTCCCCCCGCTGGCCAACCATTATTTTTAAGACATTGCCTTGTTCAAGAAACACTGTCCCGTTCACAAGGGCTCCTTTGCCACCTTTATGACCATTTATACTRTCACCCCCTGCGGCCCCGCAGGAAGTCACGTGATAGTCACCAGTTACTGGGACAGTCCATATTTGGGTACCGTGAGTGACGTCAGTGTTTTCTAATACTGTGCCTTTGTATCCTTGGTTGTCTGTTGGGCCTTTTCTACCACGATAGCCAAGAGTGGTGAAATTAAAAATGGCGGCCTCTGCTAGAATCAGACAGAAATTTCCAACAGTTATTGGAGGAAAATAGTATGTAAATCAATACAAAAGATGGGTAGAAGCAAATTAATGATTTTGAGGCATTGTAGCTTTGAAAAAAAATGGAATCTCTTATAAAACCGGCGCATTATGCATGCGTCTCAATGTGCACTTTACAATCTTTCATTTTCAGTGGGGGTCTTCAGTTATGGGCTGCCACGCAGCTTACCATCATGAGAAGTGATTAGTAATAGTTCCTTTCAGAGTTCCCAGCGCCATCTTGAAAGTTAGCCGTGCCTTTGCATCGTCGCGAGACGAACAGTCATGAGCTTGCGATTATAGAGACCTTTTTTTAACACCTTGGACAATTATTCACGTATCTATATCATTGTAAACTCACCGTTCGTCTCGCTTCGATGCAAAGGCACGGCTACCTTTCAAGATGGCGCAGGGAACTATAAGAGGGACTATTAGTTAGCTATAGCGTTATCGTTGGGCTTTAACGTTACCTTTTAGGTTATATTTAAGGCTATATACAAGAAAAAAGTCTGGCTATGATTAGTATGACTATACCTTCGACAAGAAAAGGCCAAACAATTTGGAAAATTATGGTGATCCAGTTATCCAGAAAGCGGAGAGCCATGTTCACAGGCTAAAAGCATGTTCAATTAGACAGATGATGATTTTCTCAATTTTTCTCTTCCTAAAGATTTGAGCAACCATGTTCACGTAAATCTTTGGTTGTGAGTGCGCATGCTCAAAATGGCGTAAATTACAATAACGCATGCGTGGCAAAATTTACGCAGCTTCTCGTTTAGTGGCTATCGATGTAAAGAAACTTAAACTAATAGCCTAGCTTTTCAAATTATTGAAAATATAAAAAATTTCAAGCAAAATTATTTGTTAATATTTGTCACCTTTTATCATCTGACAACGATCTCCCTTCCATAATGGGGRGCAGGTACAAGTGAATTGTTCATTGCTGGCCTTGTACACACACGATCCGTCATTACTGCACGTGTTAAAGCGGCAATCATCCTTGGGAAAACGAAAAAAAAAGAATTATGGAATAAGTAAACCGTGGAGGTGTTTTAGCAAATTAATTTCAGACCACGTGAAGAAATAGAAAGCGCGCGCGCGTTCTGTRWGCAGTTATAAAGCACGCAGGGAGGGGGTTGGCAGAACACGAGAGAAGTGTTARGAGACWTTCGACACTTTTCGAGTGTTCTACCWATTCCCAAATGCTTTATAWCTCAACACAGCACAGCAAGCAAGTTTTCTATTTCATTTATTAAATACAAATTACAATAACCACTATTTTGGCCTATTATAGGAATGACGTATTGGAAAGCGCGCGCGCGTGCTAGCTGTGGGCTTTCATAAAGCACGCGCCCCAGCAAATCAGAACGCGAGACTTATAACAGTTATTTTATAATATAAATTATCAAGGTGTTGATAAGTTTAGCTTTTGATAATAGATTTAAAATGAATACAAACGCTACTAAATTACGTTTTGACATCGTCCGATGTCGTTATCAAGTAGATTAATATTCAAGTGAGAAGCATTTCAAGGTCAATACATGCTACAGTGCTATCAATTTGTTGTTGGTAAAAACAGAAATAATACTCAAGGGAATGACTAGTGTATCAGTGAATAAAGGTGTCTATGTAGGTTGTGCAAGCTGCCAATGGACTAAATTCACTACTGGACATGTTTGCCCATTTCAGACCACGTGTCATTCTCTTGAGAGTAAGATTCTTTGTTAGCATTGTATCCATATTCATGTGTCTTCTCAGTACGCAACCGTTAAACAAAGAAATGATACTCTAGGGAATGACACGTGGTCTGAAATGTGAAAACATTACGCCYGAGCCGAAAAGGTCTAGCWATAAGTTACTGGCTAACTTTCGCCTTAAGTCAATGGAAAAATCTTGAATGCACAAAATGCCAGAATTTGAACTGAGTTCATCGCTTTGAAATAAACGAAATTCAACCTGAACCTTCCGAGTAATCAGAAATTTTWAAAAGTAAATTAAACGCCTGCGTTTTTTTCCCGATCCGGAATTGCACGTGCTGATGGGGCAACTTGGGTCTCACTTTGGACTGAGTACTCGGCGACAGAAAGTTAATTAAGGTGGTCTAGCTTCTTCAATATTGAATCTCGACGAATTCTTATCTTTTTCATTTTGGCACCAAAGTAATAATGAGGTAAGAAAGAGGTGAATCTGATGCAACTTCCTTTGGATTCCAGACATCAAGTCATAATCTATCTAGTTTAGTGACTAGAGAAATCTTATAACCATCTCTTGGACTTCTTTYGAGGCTTTCGTGTTGTGAAATTATGTTTTGCAGGGTCTTACGGATTTCACATTAGTTCAGCTAAAATTGCAAGTTCTGAAACCCCCTCCCCTCCCCTCCCCTGCCCTTAAAATGATGGATCGCGCCAATGAAGTCTTGTTCCAGTCAGTACTGAACTATCCCCTAACTAATGGACTTGAAAACCAATAAATCCTTAGAACTAATTCAAATTACTTTCATTCGGTACTAGAAGCGTAGGTCGGGGAAAACTTCAAAGTAAATCTATCATATTTTTTTACCTTCAAACTTTGAGCAAAAATCCAACCTTCTTYGTACTCTAGACCAGAAACGTCAGAGGGGTTGAAATCTAAAAGTTCACATTCGTGTTTGTTTTTAGAGTTTCGAAAATTAGCAGCCACACAGCGAGGGTTTCGAAGACAAGAAAGACCACAAGAAACTAGACTTGTGGCTCCCAAGAACTTGGCAAATATTCCATTTTGTCTTCTGTGGTTTTCTTTGACGGTAAAGAAAGCTTCATTTGCAGACAGTATCAAACAGACTAAACTCGCAATCAAGACAAATAACGCCTTATTTTGCACTGTCATTGCTATTACAGCAATTGAGGGTGCTACAATTTTCTAAAATTTTACAGTTGTGAAAATTCTGAGTTCCAAGGACMAATAATAAAGACACTCTGTCTTATTAAACCAAAAATAACGAAATGAGCACTCCGATATGAAATTTAAGAAGTATAATGCCTAGATCAATTAGAGGCTTTATTAAATCCGCGAGATTTCCATCGATAAATCTGATTTTTGTTTCCTACATCATGTCTGTGGCATTTAGACTTTGCTGATATATAATTTMCCGCGCTTTGAAGCTGCAATTGTCATCGCAAAAAGCTGTCCGTCACCCAGCTTAGCTGGGGATTAGAGATGGTCAAAGAGGACATTTTTTCAATAATGAGCAATAATGGCAAAAAGCGCCAAAAACTATAGACTTTCGTATGAGTTTTGATCCCAATTTTCGTTTTGGGTTAACACTCAAAGCCTTTTTTAAACAGTTAGAAACTGATGTACTATGATAAAATGCCTGTTTGAAGCGGTATTTTCAATTGTACAAAGATGTTTTGTTGCATTTGTGTTAGAATGTTGYTTTRWCAKGCTTTTTATAGAAMATATATGGRAAATAAGCAAAAAGGCCTAAACCTCATTTTCGAATAAAATTTTTGCTTTTGGTTAACACTTTGATTCCACTTTCAACAGTCATCTCAACTTCCAAACAAGTTAAACTTTCTGAATAACAAGATCTTAGCCTTGTACAACAGCCTTTCTTCAAGAAAATAGTTTTTGGCGCTCACTGCTCGAATACGAAAAGAACTCTCTCTTAATTTGATTGAAAAAAAATGGGATGGAAGGGAGTGGTACATGAAACTAAAATGGATGGATCGAATGAGTGAGGATGAGTGAGTGAGTAGGCTGAATGAGAAACTTCCTCGGCAATAAAAGAACTCCAATTTTCCCTCTAAAAGAAGAAATAATCCTAAATGGTCCGGGTAATGACTATCTCTCTCATCCCATATTTGATTTCATTTCCAGAGCAATTTCCTCTCTAAAAAGATAAGGCTATTGTGACAAAATAACAGCTTGCCAGAATACTAGGTTACTAAATGTTTTTAGACCAGATAAGGTGACACGGAACGTATCGCTATCGATGGTTGGTGATAATGGATGATCTCAGTTGGTTCCTTTAGCGTCATTTTCCTCAAAGACATCAATCCTAGCAAAAACACGATAAGAATGGTTAAAGAAATGAGCAATAAAATAAAATACACTCTGAAGGGAATGTGGAGTAATTAGGACAGTAGATTATGCATCACGTGTTTTTTCCCCGCAGACATGAATACGTTTATATCGTGTTCGACTGCATTTCACATTACCTTCACAAACCCTAACGACAAACCCAAAGGAAAAAATCTCAGATTTGGAATTCGTGATGAATCAAAATATTTAATGTGAATTTTTGATTTATTTTAACAATGGTCTGAGGTTTAAAAAAAGCTCACCATCTACATATTTTATCTGCTTTGATTAAGCTGATGATGTCAGCAGTGGTTGGTACTCATGG